TCTATTTTACCCTCTCATTCTAAAACTTCAGGACAATTTTCCTTAATAATTTCTTGTAATGTTGTATTAAGTTTTTTTTTCTTTTTGGCTGTAATTTTCAGGTAGTCCAAGAGCTCTTATATTGTCTCTCCTTGATCTGTTCTCCAGACCCATTGTTTTTCGAATAAGATGTTTCATATTATCTTCTATTTTTTTATTCTTCTGATTTTGTTATTTGTTGATGTCTTATAAACATCATTAGTTTCCCCCTGCCCAAATCTAGTTTTCAAGGAGTTATTTTCTTAAGTTTTTGGATTTCTTTTTTCAATAGGTTGAATTTCTTTTCATAATTTTCTTGGATTGCTCTTATTATTTTTTCAAATTTTTTCTCTATCTTTCTTATTCAATTTTTGAAGTCCTTTTTAAGTTCTTCCAAGACCTCTTTTTAGGCTTGTGACCATTTGATCTTTCTCTCTGAATTAAGAGTGGCTTTTTTAACTTCACTGTCTTCTCTGAATATGAACCTACATCTTCTCTATCCCCATAGTAGCTGTCTATGGTCAGGTTCTTTCTCCTTTGCTTACTCATTTTTATTTTTATTTTGTTTTATTCTATTTTTAGTAGCTTATTATTGTAATCAGTTTTGTAATCTCATGGTGGAGGGAACGGTGCCCCAGGCCTCAGGTCCTTCTTACTGTTATTTTCTGAACTCTGTCCAGGGGCCCAGCCTTGGGCACTCCTCTCCACCCTGAAGTGATAGGTAGGGCGGCCCCCCCCCCCCATCCCACAAATGCTCGTGCTCCCTGCAGTCCCTCTGGGACTGCCAACTTCAGCTCCCCCCTTTCCCTGGAGCTGAAACCAGGAACTCTGCTCTCCTGCAAGTGCCCACAGCTAGCAGGGTCCCTTCCCCTATGTTACCACACTTAGGGTTTTTGCTCACTCCTCACCCACAGCTGCAGCCCAGTACAGTGTCTGGTCAGCACAGCTGAGGATGAGGACATCCTGCAAAAGCAAAGAATGTTTCAATCTTTCCTTGCCCAGCTGTCTAATCTCCACACTGTCCATGAGGTGCAAGTTCCTGGGGCCCAACCCAGCTGCCCCTAGGGCTTATTTGTTGTTTTAATAGGATCTACCTGAAGGTGTTTAATCTTCACAGCGGGGAGAACCTCTGGCCCTGAATGCCAGGTCTTTCCTGAGGTCCTCTCAAGTTGTCTTGGAAGGACCACTATTTTACCTCAACTTAAAATTATTCCTGCCACTCTATATTCACTTTGAGGTGATGTTCTATGTTTTTAGTGGAGGAAATTTGGGAAGCCTGGAATTTTCTGACCTACTCTACCATCTTCCCAGATCTTCCTCTCATTTCTTAATATATAGTGAACTGGGGAAAATGTGGTTGTGCATCAGGACATGGATGCCTATGTGACAGTACACTTGAGAATATTGGAGTCAGTTTAAACTGGGATTGAGGTCTGAGAGAAATAGCTATTTTTCATTTTCACAAAAAGACCCCAGAAAAAAAGTCAATCTAAGGGTTAGGTAGAAGTTGAACAAAGGAAGCCATAAATTAGAATAAGAAAACACTATTGGTAGGTGAATAGACTAACTGGCTGAAAACTGGTTCTGAGGCTAAGTACAGATTAACATCAAAAGGAGTGTTTCCAAATAAGAGCCTGGGTCCCCAAATTGTGGGGAGCGGGAAATTACAGGTGGAGACTCACATGGGGAAATTAGGCACTTCAGGTAGGCTGTAACCTCTATAGTACCCAGCCAATTGGGAAACAAGGGAGGGAAATTCAAGTTGGGAACAGGGAATAAAAAGGTGTGTTATCTGTCAGACATGGGTGACCCACATGTGGGGCACCTGGCCTTCCCAGGCCGTTAATAAAGTTCCTTCCTGGTTTAAACAACGGCTTTGTGGAATTCATGGTAAAGCTAACAGGAACTGAGTCTAAGTTTTAAAAATAGGAGCCATTCCCCAATTGATTAAAGGTCAAAGGATAGGAACAGGCAGTTTCCAGAATAAGATATCAAAACTTTCTATAGTCACATAAAAAAATGCTCTAAATCACTAATGATTAGAGAAATGCTAGATTAGCTAACATGACAGAAAAGGAAAATGATAAATGCTGGAGGGGATATTAAAAAAATTGGTACACTAATGCACTTCTGGTGGAGTAGTGAAATAGTCCAACATTCTGGAGAACAATTTGGAACTATGCCCAAAAGGATATACAACTGTGCACACCCACTGAGCCAGCAATATGACTACTAGATTTGTAACCCAAAAAGGTCAAGGAAAAAGGAAACAGACCTATTTGTACAAAAATATTTATAGCAGCTCTTTTTGTGGCGGCAAAGAATTGGAAATTGAGTGGATGTCCATCAATTGGGGAATGGATGAATGAGTTGTGCTTCATGGCACCAGTCTTTTTATTCTTTGCTAAACTCTGGGAATACAACGACATAAAAAAGACAGTTTCTGCCCTCAAGGTACTCATAATCTGATTGACTGGTAGGGACCATCATCTCACATTGTATACCAAGATAAGCTACAACAGGAACATAACTTAGAAATAAAAGATGATTTCATAAACAAATTGGAGGAGCAAGAAAGAAATTCCGTCAGATCCATGGAGAGGGGAAGAGTTCACGAACAAATATGGGGAAAAGAGGATAACATAAGTTTAAAAAGTTTTTGTGCAAACAAAACCAATGTAGTAAAAAATTAAGAGAAGTAGGCAAATGGCATAAAATGTTTGTAGTTTCTTTGACAATGGTCTCATTTCTAAGATACATTGGGAATATATTTAAATTTATAATAAGAACCATTCCCCAATTGATAAATGGTCAAAAGATACAAACAGGAAGTTTTATAAGGAAGAAATCAAACTACCCAAAGCCACATTAAAAAATGCTTTAAGTCACTAATAATTAGAGAAATGCAAATTAGAACTCCCAGGTGCTACCTCATATCCATCAGATTGTCAAAGTTAACAAAAAAGGAAAAAAAAAACTGTGGCTCCTACCTGAGGGAAAACAGGTACATAAATGTACTACTTCTGATGGAGCTGTGAACTGGTCTAGACATTCTGGAAAGCAAATAGGAACTATGCCCTCAGAGTTTTTAAACTGTGCCTTGCCCTTTTATTCAGCAATACTACTACTAGGTCTCTACCCAAAAGAGATCAAATAAAGAGGAAAAGAACCCACACATGTCGTTCTTTTATTTGGTGGCTAAGAAACAGAAACTGAAGGGGAATGTCTTAAACAAATTTATGCTACATGAATGTGATAGAACACTGTAGGAAATTATGAAAGGGATAGTTTCAGAGAAACCTAGGAAGACTTACATTAACTGATGCAGAGTGAAGTGGGAAGAACCAGAACAATTTATGTAATAACTATTATTTTTTTAAAAAAACCTTGAAAGATTTAAGAACCCCGAGCAACAAAATGATCAACTATGATTCCAGAAGATTAATGCCAAAATGTGCTACCCACCTCACAAGAGAGAAGTGATGGATTAAGAGTACACATTAAGATTTGGGGGCGGTGGAGGTGGTGACAGAGGAATGTGGCCAATGTGGCAATTTGTTTAGCTTGATGGCCATATTCATTACAAGTGCTTTTTTTTTATCCCTTTCTTTCTCAAATGGGTGGGTGTGAGAAAAGGCAGATTTCAATTAATTGAACAAAAATAAATCTTCATTTAAAAAAGAGTAGAAATCACTTTGCTGGAATTTTGAAGGAACCTTTTTTTAAAATACAAAAAAACAAGTCTAAGTTCAGCTTCAACAGCCTTTTTCACTGGTAATGTTACTATATCTTTATGAAGAAATGGACTCTTTGGGGAGTTACAGTTTAACTATTATTCTGGAATTTGTTCATTGGGATGAATGTAGGGAGACTACGTGAAGCAGAGAGATAAAGGACAAAGAGAACTTTCCAGAAAGACTGAATAAATGTTCATGAGAAAGTGTCTGAAGAGGCATTTTCTGAGAGGAGTAAGTTGGACTTACATATCATGAATAAACAGCATGAAGAGAATTCCTGAGAAATTTTGGCTACCAAAATGTAAGAATTGAATGATGAGACTGTGTTTCCAGAGTTAGAGGATGCTCTGTTTATGATCTTTTTCACAGGTGATACATTGTAAATAGCTATTTATATCTTTTGTTTGTTCGTTTGTTTTTTGTGAGGCAATTGGGGTTAAATGACTTGCCCAATGTCACACAGCTAGTAACTGTCAAGTGTCTGAGGCCACATTTGAACTCAGGTCCTCCTGACTCCAAAGCTGGAGCTTTATCCACTGTACTACCTTGCTGCCCCTGTTACACTGTTAATAAAGTGGACAGCCATTTTGTTTAAGCCAAGTAGATTAGGTTGATATAGAAAAAAACAACATGAACAAAAGCTTATAGGGGCTACTCAAGCTTATTTAATATTTTATAAAGCTATATAAGAGATGTTATAATTTTACTAACAATAAGAGCTATTATGATTTAAATAACTTATCAACCTTTATCAGAACATACACCTTGACTGTCTTAGAATCTGGAGAGAATGAATAAGGTAATGAGTCAAACAGGAGTCTGAGAGAGTGGGGCCTTGGTGTAGTTGTTATATGACTGACACCAACAGAGACTACCTATCAGACCCATGAAACCCTACCAAATACCAAAAACAGATCTGTGAGGGATATCTTAGTAATATACTTGTGTTCATACTATAAACTCAGTCATAAAGGATTTCAAAGAAACCAGAAACATCATCTGTAAAGGATATTAGACAAAAAAATACTACTATGATGTACTACAGATGGGCAATATGCTATAATGCCAACAATACAAGTATTAGGCTAAGGTGGAGTGTTGAAAAACTTAATTGACTACTCCTACAAGTCTATATCACCTATGGGATGATAATTTTATTAGATTTGTAAATATATGTCTATAACATCTTTTTAGGTATCAAATTTCTTCTTTCCTCCCCTCTTCTTTCAAATATAAATTACTTACCTGCCTCCTTCAAAGTGACTGATGAGATCTGATACCTTAGTGGGTTTTTCTTTTGAGATAAAAGAAGCAGGGACAGGCTTAACTTCCTCCATCCTTGGTTTTATACTAGGTAAAGCTTTATGCTTGGGTGTCTGATATTTATTGGATGAAGGTGAATTCTGCAGATGTAATGGTTTTGGAGGCACTGTAGAAAAAAATAAAAGAATTACACTATTTCAATGATTCAATGCAAGTGAATCCAAGGACCAAGAATGAGAACCTTCAGTTTTTTCAAATATTAGTGTTTGCTTTCTCATTTGTGTGGGACCTAGACAAAAAGACTTTAAAATTTAACTTCTACTCTTTGCTAGATGGAGATGTCCATTAATAATTTCAAGTAGCTTTGTAGATTTTAATTTATTCAAAATATAGTACTGGAGATTTAAATTTCATTCTTAGAGATCTGTACAATAAGTATAAAATTTCCATCACTGTTGCCAATAGTCATTCTACCTGTGATATATATGACCTTTTCTTTAAAAAAAAAAAAATAATTTATTCTTTAGTTTTCAACATTCATTTCCATAAGATTTTGAGTTTTTAATTTTCTCCCCTTCTCTCTCCTCCCCCCTCCTGAAGATGACATGCAATCTGATATAGGTTCTACTTACACATTAATATTAAGCATATTTTTACACTATTCATGATGTAAAGAAGAATTAGAACTAATGGGAAGAACCACAAGAAGGAATAAAACAAAACAACAAAAGAAAAGGAGAGCAAATAGCATGTTTCCATCTAAATTCAGACTCCATAGTTCTTTCTCTGGATGTGGATAGCATTTTCCATCATGAGTCTTTTGGAGCTGTCTCAGATCCTTGAGTTGCTGAGAAGAGCTAAGTCTATCAAAGTCAGTCATCACACAATGTGGCTGTTACTGTGCACAATGTTCTCCTGGTTCTGCTCATTTTACTCTGCATTAGCTCATATAAGTCTTCCCAGATTTGTCTGAAGTCTGCCTGCTCAGGCACAATAGTATTCCTTATAGTATTTCATATAGTATTCCATTACATTCAAAGTTCATTCCCCAATTGATGGGCATCCCCTCAATTTCCAATTCTTTGCCACCACAAAAAGAACTGTTATAAACATTTTTGTACATGTGGGTCCTTTTCCCATTTTTATGATACAGTCCTAGAAGTGGTATCACTATGTCAAAGGGTATGTACATTTTCATAGCCCTTTGGGCATAGTTCCAAATTGCTCTCCAGAATGGTTGGATCAGTTCACAATTCCACCAACAATGCATTGGTGTTCCAATTTTCCCACATCTTCTCCAACATTTATCATTGTCCTGTTTTGTCATGTTAGCCAATCTGACAGGTGTAATGTGGTACCTCAAAGTCATTTTGATTTACATTTTTCTAATCAATAACAATTTAGAGCATTTTTTTCATATAGATAGACTATAGATAGCTTTAATTTCTTCATCTGAAAACCACCTGTTCATATACTTTGACCATTAATCAATTGGGGAATGATTTGTATTCTTATAAATTTGACTCAGTTCTCTACATATTTTAGAAATGAGGCCTTTATCAGAGACACTGACTGTAAAAATTATTTCCCAGCTTTCTGCTTCCCTTCTAATCTTGGTTGCATTGACTCCACTTGTTCAAAAACTTTTCAATTGAATGTAATCAAAGTTATCCATTTGCATTTCATAATGTTCTCTATCTCTTGTTTGGTCACAAATTCTTCCATTCTCCATAGATCTGATAGGTAAACTATTCCCTGCTCTCCTAGTTTCTTTATAGTATCAGTCTTTATATCTAAATCATGTTATCATTTTGATTTTATCTTGGTATAGGGTGTAAAATGTTGGTCTATGCCTAGTTTCTGCCATACTTTTTTTCCAGGTTTCCCAGCAGTTTTTGTTAAACAGTGAGTTCCTATCCCAGAAGCTGGAGTCTTTGGATCTATCAAATATTAGATTACTATAGTCATTGACTGTTGGGTCTTGCTTACCTAACCTACTACACTGATCCACCACTCTATTTCTTAGCCAGTACCAAGTAGTTTTGATGACTGCTGCTTTAAGATCTGGTACAGCTAGACCACCTTCCCTTGCATTTCTTTTTATTAGTTCCCTTCATATTCTGGATCTTTTGTTCTTCAAGATGAATTGTTTTTTTTCTAGCTTTATAAAATAATTTTTGGTAGTCTGATTGGTATGGCACTGAATAAGTAAATTAATTTGGGTAGAATTGTCATTTTTATTATATTAGCTTGGCCTACCTATGAGCAACTGATGTTTTTACAATTATTTAGATCTGACGTTGTATGAAAAGTGTTTTGTAATTGTGTTCATATAGTTCCTGAGTTTATTTTGGCAGGTAGACTCCCAAATATTTTATAATGTCTACAGTAACTTTGGGTTTTGTTAGTAATATACAGAAATGTGGATGATTTATGTGGGTTTATTTTATATCCTGCAACTTTACTAAATTTATTTCAAGTAATTTTTTACTTCATACTCTAGGATTCTCTAAGTACATTATCATGTCATCTTCAAAGAGTGATAGCTTTGTTTCTTCTTTGCCTATTCTAACTCTTTCAATTTCTTTTTCTTCTCTTATTGCTAAAGCGAACATTTCTAAAACAATATTGAATAACACTGGTGAAAATGGACACCCTTGTTTCACCTCAGATCTTACAGGAAATGCTTCTAGCTTATCCCCATTACATATAATGCTTGTTGATGGTTTTAGATAGATGCTACTTATCATTTTAAGGAAGATTCCATTTATTCCTATGCTCTCTAGTGTTTTTAAAAGGAATGGGTATTGTATTTCGTCAAATGCTTTTCTCAATCACATGAGTTCTGTTGGTTTTATTGTTGATATGGCCAATTATGCTGATAGTTTTCCTAATATTCAATGAGCCCTGCATTCCTGGTATAAGTCCTACCTGGTTATAGTGTATTTTCCTTGAGATAAGTTCCTATAATCCCTTTACTAATATTTTATTTAAAATTTTTGCATCTATATTCATCAGGGAAATTGGTCTATAATTTTCTTTCTCTGTTTTGGCTCTTCCTGGTTGAGGTATCAGTACCATATTTGTATCATAAAAAAGAATTTGGTAGGACTCCACCTATTTTTCGAAATAGTCGATATAGTATTGGAATTAGATATTCTTTAAATGTTTGATAGAATTCACTTGTAAATCCATCTGGTCCTGGAGATTTTTTCTTAGGGAGTTCATTGACGGCTTGTTCAATTTCATTTTCTGAAATGAGGTTTTATTTTATTTCCTTTTCTGTTAATCTGTTAACAGATCAATGTTTCTGTTAATCTGTTAACAGATCAATGTTTCTGTTAATCTGACCAATTCATATTTTTGTAAATATTCATCCATTTCACTAAGATTGTCAAATTTATTGGCATACAGTTGGGCAAATAGCTCTTAATTATTGTTTTAATTTCCTCTTCATTGGTGGTGAACTCACCCTTTTCATTTTTGATATTGCTAATTTTTTTTTAATAAAATTAACCAAAGGTTTACCTATTTTATTGTTTTTTTCCCATAAAACCAGCTCTTAGTTTTATTTATTAGTTCAATAGTTTTCTTAATTTCAATTTTATTAATCTCTCCTTTGGTTTTCAGAATTTCTAATTTGGTATTTAATTGGGGATTTTTAATTTGTCTTTTTTCTAGCTTTTTTAGTTACATGCCCAATTCATTGATCTCCTCTTTCTCTATTTTACTCATGTAATCATTTAGAGGTATAAAACTTCCCCTAAAAACTGTGTTGGCTGTATCCCGTAAGTTTAGGTATGTTGTCTCATTATTGTCATTCTCTTTGACAAAGTTATTGATTGTTTCTATGATATGTTTGCCCTACTCATTCCTTAGGATTAAATTATTTAGTTTCCAATTAATATTTAGTCTATTTTTCCATGGCCCTTTATTACATGTAATTTTATTGCATGATGATCTGAAAATGATGCATTTAATATTTCTGCCTTTCTGCACTGGATTGTGAGGTTTTTATGCCCTAGTATGCAATTTTTTGCATAGGTATCATGTACCACTGAGAAAAAGGTATATTTCTTTCTATCCTCATTCAATTTTCTCTAGAGGTCAAACACATCTAACTTTTCTAAAATTCTATTCATCTCCTTATCTTTTTTCTTGTTTATTTTGTGGATAGATTTATCTAGTTCTGAGAGGGAGAAGTTGAGGTCCTCCACTAGTATAGTTTTATTATCTACTTCTTCCTGTAACTTGCTTAACTTCTCCTTTAAGAATCGAGATGCTATACCACTTGGTGCATATATATTTAGTAATAATATTACTTCATTGTCTATGGTACCTTTTAGCATGATGTAGTTTCCTTCCTTATCTCTTTTTTTTGTTTTGTTTTGTTTTTTTGTTAGGCAATGGGGTTAACTGACTTGCCCAGGGTCACACAGCTAGTAAGTGTTATGTGTCTGAGGCTGGATTTGAACTCAGGTCCTCCTGAATCCAGGGCTGGTGCTCTATCCACTGCGCCACCTAGCTGCCCCCTTCTTATCTCTTTTAATTAGATCTATTTTTGCTTTTGCTTTGTCTGAGATCAGTATTGTTACCCTTGCCTTTTTTTTTTTAATTCAACTGAAGCATAATATATTCTGCTCCAGCCTCTCATCTTTACTATGTGTTTGTCTCTCTGTGTTTCCTGTAAACAACATACTGCAGGATTACGGTTCTTAATCCACTCTGCTATCTACTTCAGTTTTATGGGACGGTTCATCCCATTGACATTCACAGTTATGATTACTAACTGTGTCTTTCTCTCCATCCTATTTCCCCCCATTTATGCTTTTCTCTCTCCTTTCTCCCTTTCCCTCTTCACTAGAATTTTGCTTTTGACTTCTGCCTCCCTCAATCTGCCTTCTCTTCTATTCGCCCCCTCCCTTTTCTTTTTCCCTTTCCCCTCCTACTTCCTATAGGGTAAATCAGGGTTCTATACCTAACTGATTATGTTATTCCCTCTTTGAACCAAATCTGATGGGAGTAAGATTCAAACAATGCTCATCTCCTTCCCTTCTTTCTCTCTACTGTAATAGGTTTCTGTTCCTTTTCATGTGATGCAATTTACCCTTGTCTGCCTCCTCCTTTCCTCTTCTCCACCCTTTTCACTACTTAGATTTTTTATCA